GTGATGATGATGATGATGATGATGATGATGATGATGATGATGATGATGGTGATGGTGGTGATGATGATGGTGTCCCGGTGATGATGGTGTTGACGATGTTGTTGATGATGGTGATGATGGCCATGGTGGTGATGATGGCGGTGTCCCGATGGTGATGTTGATGATGATGATGTTGCTGGATGATGGTGGTGTCCCACTGATGATGGTGATGATGATGATGATGATGTTGATGATCCTGATGATGTTGATGATGATGATATGGGGAGATGATGATGAAGATGATGATGGTGATGATGATGATTATGAGGTTTGTAATGATGCTGTTGATGATAACGGTGGTGATGATGATGGTGTCCCGATGATGATGGTGATGATGATGGTGCTGATGACGATGATGGTGTCCCGATGATGGTGATGATGATGTTGATGATGAGGATGATGGTGTCCCGATGATGATGGTGATGATGATGATGATTTTGATGATCGTGGCCCGATGATGATGCTGTCGATGATGATCATGGTTTCCCGATGATGATGATGATGGTGATGATGATGATGTTGACGATGATGAGCATGGTTTCCCGATGATGATGATGTTGATGATGATGTTTATGATGATGTTGCTGCTGATTTTGATGATGGTGTCCCGATGGTGATGATGTTGGTGATGTTGTTCATGATGATGCTGAGCAGATGGTCATGGTGATGATGGTGGTGTTCCGATGATGATGATGTTGTCCCGGTGATGATGATGATGATGATGATGATGATGATGATGATGATGATGATGATGATGATGGTGACGATGATGGTGTCCCGATGATGATGGTGATTGTGATGATGATGTTGATGATGATGGTGATGAGGTGATGATGATGGTGATGGCGTCCCGATGATGATGATGATGATGATGATGATGATGATGATGATGATGATGATGATGATGATGATGATGATGTTGATGACGTTGATGTCGATGATGTTGATGATGATGATGATGATGATGATGATGATGCTGCTGATGATGATGACGTTGATTGAGAGATCGATTGCGATATCGATAGTGGGATCGATAGTGAGAGCGAGTGTGAGATCGATTGTGAGATCGGTAGTCAGATCGATTGTGACATCGACCGAATGAAATAGATCGAGTGGGATCGATTGTGAGATCGATCGAGTGAGATTGATCGAGCGAGACCGATAGTGAGATCGATAATGAGATCGATAGTGGGACGGATCGAGTGAGACGTTGGTTTCTCCCCCCCCGAACTTCCTTACCACCCGAAGGGTGGTCGTATAGGTATGTATGTATGTGTGCGTCTGTGCGTGGGTGCGTGCGTGCGTGCGTGCGTGCGTGCGTGCGTGTGCGCGCGTGTGTGTGTGTGTGTGTGTGTGTGTGTGTGTGTGTGTTCGCGTGTGTGTGTGTGTGCGTTCGTGCGTGCGTGCGTGTGTGCGCGTGTGTGTGTGTGTGTGTGTTTGTGTGTGTGTGTGTGGGTGTTGGTGTTTGTGTGTTTGTGTGTTTGTGTGTGTGTGTGTGTGCGTGTGTGTGTGTGTGTGCGTCTGTGCGTGCGTGCGTGCTGCGTGCGTGCGTCGCGCGCGCGCGTGCGTGCGTGCCGTTGTGTGTGTGTGTGTGTGGTGTGTTCGTTGTGTGTGTGGTGTGTGTGTGTGTGTGTGTGCGGCGGCGTGTCGTTCGTGCGTGCGTGGCGTGTAGGTGGTCGGTGCGTGCGTGCGTGGCCTGTGCGTGCGTGCTGCGTGTGCGCGCGCAGGTGTGTGTGTGTGTGTGGTGTGTGTGTGTTTGTGTGTGTGTTTGCGAGAGTGTGTTGTGTGTGTTTTGTGTGTTTGTGTGTTTGTGTGTGGGTGCGTGTGCGTTGTGCGTGTGTGGTTGTGTGTGGGTGTGTGTGTGTGTGGTGTGTGTGTACGGTCTGTGCGTGCGGCGAGCGCGCGTGTGTTCTGGCGTGCGTGTGTTGTGTGTGTATGTGTGTGTGGTGCGTGTGTGTGTGTGTGTGTGTGTGTGTGTGTGTGTGTGTGTGCGCGCGCTCGCGCGTGCGTGCGTGCGTGCGTGCGTGCGTGCGTGCGTGCGTGCGTGTAGGCAGGCGTGCGTGCGTGCGTGCGTGTGCGCGCGCGGGTGTGTGTGTGTGTGTATGTGTGTGGGTGAGTGTGTGTGTGTGTGGCATGCGCCCGAAGTCCTCGCACGCGCGGTTCGACTACATCAGGAGCTCGTCCTGCACTGGCGCAGGTGTCGCCAGCCGACCAGCCACCTGCCTTCGAAATTCTCCGCACATTCCCGCACTCTGTTTCCAGCCGTGCTTCTCGTGCCAGCTGTGCCCCTCGCCAGCTTACTCCTTGCCGTTCGCGGACACGTGGTGCGCGCCGAGGTTGGCCTTGGCCCCCCTCCTTCCTCAGCTCGCTTGCGGGGCTCCCCGCTGGTCTCGGAGCCTTCTTGGCTCGCCGTCTGAGGAGGAGGGGGAGGAGAAGGAGGAGGAGGAGGAGGAGGAGGAGG